CGAATTGATGGGCTGTCGCATATTATACCCCATCCTACATCAATAGAATGGAGAGCTTCTAGTTTCTCCGTCTGGACCAGGTTGCGGAAAAACTATGACAATTGTGTGAAGAGAGAAATGTTACTTCATTCGCGTCAAATATGAAATCTAGGAGTAATACTGGTACAGATGTGCTTTTGCGTCACTGGGACACTTGAAAACGGAGTGAGAGCTGCACCTGTCACCGCCCTGATTTTGGTTCAAGTATTCGGTGTTTCTGAAATTTCACTTCTAGAAGTAACGCAAGGACCTGATGGAAGAACCCAGGACGCCGCTCCCACTAATTCTGAATCTTACCCTGGCTATCGTCACTGGAAAGCTGCTATTCCAATCAGCATCGATAATCCATCATGTATTGTGGGCTTAGATTACGGTAGGACCTTTGCCGGGAAGAAATACATGTCTGGTTTCCTACTTTGAAATTTCTTACCTTTCAGGTGATAAGAGAACAAGATATAATTGTTTAAGCTATCTTTTACCCAAAATGTTACTAACGATGCAGACATAAGATGGTTTTTGAAGGGCATTTACAGGCTGAGGCCATCTCAACTGAAATATAGATACTGTGGTATCAACCAAAGGGGTTGATGGTAAGCTCTGTAGATATTTGGATGAGGAAATCAGCAACACAGCTAGCTCTAGCCTCAGGTCAGAGTGTGCAAACTAATTGAAACAGAGAACATCCGGATTGGGTTGAATAATACTGATATTGGGATTTCTCAGTTTTTGAAAGTCTCGGGGTCACTCATCTGGCAACCACTTAAGTTTTACCGTATTTTACGCCCAAATATTTGGTCAAAGTATTTACTTGTCACTGTACAGTAACTTTATTATGTTTCCTCGGCTCCCAGATGGATGAAGCCGGTTTTAGCAAAGAGTGCCACAATTGACAACACACAGTAAGTACATGAAATGCGTCTACCTCTCCGCCTGCTAAATTATAGTAGTGTCAGGCTCACGGTGGGCCGGAGTGCGCTTTCTGAGATACCTCTTATGCCAAACAATAGCTTTGCTCAAGCGGCATTTGAGGTGAACCAAGTCTCCACACCTTAAACATAACTGTGTTATTAAGTTATTTGCTAATTACCATGAAATGGATGGTAATTTTTGAACCAAGTACCTACGTCATATTACCTGTTGCTAAAAGCCTTAACTTGAATTGTTACAATGGAAACGTACATTTAGTTGACACATACATTGGGTACAATTTGTGTACAACCTATCGTTTACTATTGCAGAGCGTTAGTAGTATGTTGTTGCAACTAGCATTGAACATCTACGACATGTATTCTTAATATTTACTTCGACGCGGGCGGAACATAATTACATGATCAAACGAACTTACCTGTAAGTGATGTTCGATCTTAATTATGTGAAGTCCTCGTCGAAGTAAATAGCTCCCTCGCTCCCTATGTGTCACCCAATTGTTGCAACAACTTGGCTTTGAAGTAAATGAAGGTTATTGGCGGCCAAAGGGGAGAAGGGTAGGGGGAACAGGCGTGGTGCCGCTTTCCTTCTCTGCGTGTGCGCTTTGAAATCGTGGCGGTTGGTTACTACTACGAGGGTACTACGATATGTATTCTAAATATTTACTTCGACGGGGACGTCACATAATTAGGATCGAACATCACTTACAGGTAAGTTCGTTTGATCATGCAAGTATTAGCTATAGCTGGCCTCCGTAGCGACGTTGTTTGATGCCTCGTAAATACAAGGTCTTCTGACCGAAGCCACAAGTGTACCTGCTGGCTCTTGTTGGTGGCTTCTAGTTGCATTTTCATTTTCATTCTTGTTTTCCTTCAGGTTAGACTTGTATCCAGATGTTATCGGTATATGTTTTCACTGCAGTGAGTTCGATGCTGGGTTCGGTCTGATGAAGCCAATAAGCAGAAGCGTACGTCGCTTGGGATTCTGCTCCTGTTCCTTTATAACGAATATGCTCTCGATTGTCCTCTGTTTTTATCTGTTTGCGCAAGAGTACTATCAATTTCTACAGCACTCAGTATTTTTATTTTTTAATTTAACCTTATTTGCAATGATGATTTGTAATATGGAGACAATTATTGTGAGAGTTACAATAGACTGGCCTTTATTATAAGCTGTCATCAGCAATTACAAGACATTGATACAATTAAGTTTTTATGTTGCTAACTTGTTTGTTCAAATCTTGAATATGTATCAATTATTTGGCACCCTTTCTATTACTTTTTGATAGATAAACTTAGGAAGTACATACATTTCAAGAAAAATGACAGCTACCTTCAGACAAATTTTGAAGAAGCCTTTGATCTAGAAAATCTCAATGAATGGCGAGATGAGTGCTCCGTTAATTTCGTGCGTGATATATTGCACAATCGTATTGATTGTTGCAATATATTGCATTAATTTAATTTTCCTGCCCATTTAAATTCTAGACAATTTGATTATTTTTATTTGCCAACTCCTAGAACAAACATTCTCCACTACTTTAGTCTTGTGGCTGGGATAATGACGTTGCAGTACAATTGGATATATATATATATGTATATATATGTATATATATATATACAGGGTGTCCGCAAAGTTGGGGTTTTCCTTTTCAGAAACAACTACCCTGGAAATAACAAAGGTAATGTGTAGTGAAACGAGGGCGACCAAGTAAAAAAAAAAATAAAGGAAAAAGTACTCACTCTCCAGTTGACGAGAAGGGCTAAGTACGTCTCTGCCTGAAATCGAAAGTTATTCACCCCATTACGCGTGAACGTAGATCGTCTGTCACCAATATGCACTTCAAAAAGTCCGGATTATTGTCATGTTGATGCAACAACCACTCACAAAACCGCACTCTTGCTGGAAAATCGTCAGGTTGAAGGGCTTGTACACGTTGGACGTTTGCCACACTTTAGTTTTTGATACTTGCACTTCTCTAGCCATGTCTCTAGTGCTTGTTGAGGGATTCTCGTCTACGCGATTCAGTAGTTCTTCCTCAACTTGCACCATTCGTGGTTGTCTAGGCCTCCCACTGTGCCCACCTCGAAATTCCTCCAAATGGCCCGTATCCCTGACTCTCTGGACCAGGTACACAAATCTGCGGGGCCTTGGATGATGTCGTCTAGGGAAACGATCTGCATACACTCGCGACGATTCTGTATCATTTTGAAGACATTCGCCATAAATTAACAACATATCAACGAGTTCATTATTGGTGTATGAGTGTTCCATTATTATTATTTTTTTGAAACGCAATCGATTATACGGGTTCGTTACCTCTATACGCGTGACCCTTTACCGTCGGTTGAAGGTTGCATACTGACCTGACACACTGACCCCGACCCCCGACCCAGTTCTGTCGTCGGGTTCAGCTAGTAGCCGGTACCAGTCTGGGACATCGCGGCGGGTGGCGGCTACAGGACGGTATTCAGATATTTTTGATGTTGCAGAGCCCTTTATCTCGGTTCCCTTAAGACATTGGTGTATATGGTACTAAGAAAAATTGCTTATGTTTTCAAGATCTACACGTCGTGTAAAGGAAAACCCCAACTTTGCGGACACCCTGTATATATTTGAGGTTTGTCTGCTTTTTTCTTTCTTATCTGCACTATGATGTTTATATTTGTAAATAGCGTCTTTGTATCTGAACTACTTACTCGTAGGGTACTATAAAGGTTTTGCAATATGACTTAACAAACGGACGCAGGATGCTGCATGCTACTTTATGTTGAGAGATGTCCATGAGCGCATAGTAGTCGCCAGCAGCACATCTGTTGATTTAGTTGTTAATTTGTATTGACAGTGTACTATGGCATCGCAGTCACGTAGTGAGATAAGGGCAGTTTTACGGTATAACTTTAGGCGTGGTTTATGCATAGACCAGTGCTTAGAAGAAATGGCGCTTCCATTGAAGAATGATTGTCCTCATCGTACGACTTAATTCGGGTGGTAAAGAGAATTCTAAAGGGGCAATTTCACTGGAGGACGCTGAGAGAGAAGGAAGGTTGCGAACGTCAGTAACAGAGGACATTAGAGACATTACTGCTGTGAGGAGAATACTTGATGAAGACCAGAGAGTGTCATACCAACAGATAGAGGAAACCTTACACCATCATGCAGGAATTCATTCAATCCTGCACGTAAGGAAACTGTGTTCTTTCTGTGTACCGCATAGTCTGACGAAAGAACAGAAGACTCGTCGTTCGCCTTGGTGCCGAATGATGCTGAAAATGTTTGATAACGGGCAATCTCGGTATGTGGACAGCATGGTGACAGGTGACGAGACTTGGCTCTATTATTATGATGTGTCTACCAAGGCTCAAAACAAAGTTTGGGTCTTTGATGATGAGGACACGCGCGTAGCTGCCAGAAAATTCCGATCTGTAAAAAAAAAATGATAGCTGTATTTTTCAAATCGAGGACTGTGGAGCGTGTCGTTTTGGACACACAAAAGACCGTCACAGCTAAGTGGTACATGAATCAGTGCCTGCCTGAAGTCATAGTGTCTATGAAAAACCTGTGGCCAAAGTCAAGATTGGACACTTGGTACCTCCACCATGATATTGAGCACCCTCCTTACAGACCAGATCTTGCTCCCTGCGACTTTGCACTGTTTCCGCATGTGAAAATAAAGCTAAAAGCAAAAAAGGTTTTCTAGTGATGAGGACCTTCTGAGGGCTTGGGACAACGCGTGTGCCGCACCAGAGCTGGTTTAAGGACTGGTTTTGGCGGATGGAGACGTGTATTGAATGTGGTGCAAATTACTTTGAAGGAAGTCAATAAATAAAGCTGTATTGCAAAACTTTTATAGTACCCTTTTATTATGAAATAATTATGTATTTTTGAAGACCGGACTTTATCCTGTGTCCTAACCTGTAAATGGCTGATGCTTTTGAGTAGTTTATAAATAAATACAAATAAATGAATAAATATGACTATGCGTCTATAATAAATGAGACTATGAGAATGAATTAGGCAAACTAAACAACCAGTTTTAACAAAAAATGTTTTATTGACATTATTACACAAACACATTACAAATACGACATCATATATTAAAATTTCGTCCTACCAACAGTATTGACATATAAACACATATTGGCCTCTGAGTTTGCACCGTTGACATTACCGGTGCCATTTCTGAGCGGAATCTCATCATAGACTGGCTCAGTAATCTCAGTAGCAATGTAGGAGCAGCTGACGTCACCGGCATCAACTGTTGAAGCTGCGCGGTAGCTTCCAGTTGAAGGTGGATGATCGTACATGTATTCTCGCACTTCTGTAACAAGAAATACAAGGTGACTCAGTAAATAGTGACGACATATCTAGGGCATAATGTAGATCAAGGAACCACACGAAAAAGTTGAATCGCACAGTAATTGTGTATTTATTTATTATAACATTGTTGCTTTTGTTGTGACCGCACTGTCGCAACACTTTCATTTTTACAAGCCTTTATTTAAATTGGCATGACTGTTTGTTAGTATGTGTTGGTCAAATCTTGAGACTGAACCTTGAACTAGTTCTGCTGAAATTTTGTACAGACGTTTGGTTTGCGTGAGGATGCAAAATGAATTAACTGCCGCCATTTTGAATCCACTATAGCGGATTCTACAAGATCGTTTAAATAGTAACTCCTATGATATAGGTATCAAATAAGAATAATTGATGAAACAAACGTAATAAGCAAGGTGACGTTATTCTGAATCTAATATGGCGGATCCGCAAAATGGCGTCTTACGGTTTTTCATAGTCACTCTTACGATATGGGTATAAAATAAAGGGGCTTGCTCAGAGGAACACAATAAGCAAAGTGCCATCATTCCAAATCCAATATGGTACCTGCCGCAAAATGGCGACTTGCGTTTTCTATAGTCACTCCTATGATATATTGACGAGAGGAACGCAATCAGGACAGTGAGGTCATTCTAAATCCAATATGACGTCCACCCCAAGACGGCGTTTATAATTACAATAGTCATCGCCAAGCATCCTCATGATATAAGTATCAAATTAAAGGGCTTGATGTGAAAAACATAACAAGCACGGCAACGTCAACCTAACTCCAATATGGCCGCCACCACATAATGGCGACTTATAATTTCCACATCTATGCAAATCAAATGAAAAGGCTTGATCAGGGAAACGTAATAAATCAGGTGGAATCATTCTAAATCCAATATGGCGGTCGCTAATGAATTGCAATTTATATAATTTCTATGGTCACCACTGTGATAAGGGTATCAAGAAAAATTACCTAATGAGAGAAACACAATAAGCAAGTAACGTCATTCTAAATTGCTTATGGTGTCTGCTGCAAAATATCGTGATATAATCTGTATCTATCGAAATTTTGCAAACAGTAACGCAAGAAATTTTATGGAGTCCAATTAATAAAATATATGAAATGGCCAATTTTGAGATCATAAATACTAAAAATTAAGAAATAAATAAAGTAAACAAACACATTTTCAAACACAAGCTTGTATTTAGCTGATGATAAGAAAAATTAAAAATTTTATTTTTATATATATGTATAACAAATAGAAAAATAATGAGCAACATTCGCAAAAAGGACAGTGGATTCGAGTATGAGAATGCACATATGTAACCACAAAAGTAGATACACATGCTCATACATCCAGATACGGACTTAACCTGAGGAAACGAAGATGGAGAGGAATAAAACAACAAACGAAATCACCAGCAAGACCCAACCTTCACTTTTGTAGAATAATGGTGGTTATAGCCACTTGCCGTGGTATTTTAAGTCCAAGGATCTACAAAAAAGGCTATAACAGGCCGCGGGGTTGTGGTTAGATGTCGCCTTAGAAAATTCGAGGTCTTCTGTCCAATATACCTACTACAAAAGTGTAGGTTGGCTCGTGTTGGTGACTTCGTGTGTTGAATTGTTCCTCTCCATCTTCATTTTCTCAGGTTACACCCGTATCCGCATATATGAGTACCTGTGTCTACTTTTGTAGTTTTGTTCGTGCGGTCATTTCAGGCCTGATGAAGCCAGCAAGCAGAAATACGTATTGCTCGGGTTACCTATCCTACTTTCTGATCGAATCCACTTTCCTTCTTTTTGCGGATGTTGCTCAATATTTTTCTATCTGTTATATACCTTCCGCAGCTTGATCCTTTTTTTGTATATACATACAAATATATATATATATATATATATATATGTAGGATAAGGTTATTTTACCATTTTTATTTTATTTTGCAAGCGCCTGTCGGTTTTGCCGCCTGGCAACGGGGAGTGGGGTAGTCTGAGCTCAGCCGCGGAGCAGGAACGATATAAAGACGGTTTCATAAGACGCACACTACAACGCAGACGGTGTTGTATGTACTACTTTTATTTCTTGTACTTGATTAATAGACGGCTATTCATTTGCATCCACGGACTCGTGATTTCAAACCCCTAGACAAACAAATAATAGCCCTACATTTTGGGGGCTCGTCCGGGATGCGATACGATAACGAAACGTATAAGGATACAGATAAAGAGTAAGACGAAATGACGTGGATAAAGCTGTGCCGAAAACGACCTGATTGCCCTCTCCAGACTCACGCGCGATTCGCGCGCGAAGCCGCGAACTACCCGCGATCCATGAGTGTGGATCCCATTCGCGTATTCTTCGCGGCTTCACGTCGCGTTCGCGCGTTGTTCCCGTTTGTTGTCGGTTTTTTGTCCCGCGACAAAGGGTTCGCAAGGCGCGAACATGAATAGGCTCCACATTCGCTGGTGGTTCAGTTGCCTCATAGCGAGTGTCGGGAGTGGTTGTGTTTTTTCCACTTATTTTCAATTGCTCTAGTTTTACTTATATATGCGTAATTATAAAATGCCAAAGCGCAAAGTAGCACTGCAGCAGCAGTAGCAATTTCACCATCCATACTCGTCAAGACCGCGAACTATACTGTGAAGCAGGCGCGAACATCTGCGAGTGTGGAACTGTAGGAAGAAATTTCGGGATTCGCACCGCGATCCGAGCCGCGATTTCACGCCGTGATTCGCGCGTGAGTCTGGAGAGGGTAAAAGAAGAGGTAAAACCCTGGACGAAGAAAACCGGAAGCAGACGAAGCGTGTGAGTCATCAAGCGCGCCGCTGACGCCGAGTTTGCTGCAACGACGCCGCAGTTGTACACGCCGCGAAGCAAGCACAAACAACAGTAGCTACGAGGGAAGGCCGGCAAAGAAATTGAGTGCTGTTGACTATCAGAGGCAAATACAATAGGTAGAACTGTAAGAGAGGTAAAAGATCAACGCACTCAACCCAAGGTAGGATCGTTTCTTTTTAGTGGTTGACGCTGGAGGCATCAGGAATCTGAGAAGACAAAATATTTTGTATTTACATGACTTAATGTTTTGAATTTTGTAATTTTGATATACCGAAGTATTGTGAATAATTTTCATTACTATAAAGCGTATATCGTCTGAGTTACGTTCTCTTTTCAAAATTTAGTATTATTCAGCATTCCTCACGATCTGATTGCCTTTACAAGCAAGTTGACTTGAATACTCTTTGACTTTGCTGCAGACTTACTGTTGCTATTTTAACTATTTTCGATTTGCTATTTATTGTTTTTTTTTAGATCTATTTGCTTAGTTATTTGTGATTAATATCAAAATTTGATAAAACAATGGCATCCAAGAGAATGACTTTGGGTGATATTGACAAAATTGCATGTAATATATAGCAGTGTAAGTTGAAAGCAGCGAAAGCATTGCTTTTGGTGGCTTACGACAATGAAAGGTTACCGAGACGGGTCAGAGCCGGTTTAAGGACTTTTACAGGTTTTTATTTTTCAAAAAATATCTATCGAAATTAAATCAAGTTGACCTTGACTTGACCTAGATTATTTCGGATCCGAAAATGAGATCGCGGACCGTATTTGCACGTTTTTGATAAAATTTGAAGAAAATCATGGCGCATTAGACGAAGAAGAAGAAACAAATGATTATGGAGAAGATGAAGAAAGATAAGACCAAGACGAAGGTTCAGAACATGAAAGACAGTATGTCAGTACAGACGGAAGACGATACGTGACGAAAGACGTTATGCTCCACAGCATCAAAGACGACATGAAGCAGAAAACATCAGAAGCCAGGAGGATAGAAGACGATGTAGCTCAGAAGACGACGATAGTTACGATGACGTGCGGAGTATTGCAGGTATAAGCCGAAATATCCATCCTAGCTTCTCAATGACATTCAAGGACGTCGAAGACAGTATCAGGCCATTTGATGGAAAATCAGAATATCCGGTGAGGAAATGGATATCCGATTTTGAGGAAATGTCTAAATTAATCGCCTGGAACGACTTAAAATTAGTGTTTGCAAAGAAGTCATTGCGAGGTCTTGCCAAGGTGTATATCTAATTCGAGACAGGTATACAAAGATGGACAGCTCTCAAAAGGAAGCTAATATAATAGTGTCGCACACACACAGCAAACACGAGGAAAATAAGACAGAGCAAGCGAGAACCAGAACTCAAGCAAATTCTGAGACAAATCCCGAGAGACGAAAAGCGCTTGTTTGTTGCAATTGTGGTTCCAAGGACACAAATCAGCAGCATGTCCTAGCAAAGATAAGGGAGTAAAGTGCTTCAGATGTGGAAACTTTGGACATCTAGCAACAAGATGTACGATGAAGGAATCTGGCAATGAAGAGAGACCTTCCGGCACTACGGCGAAGGTCAATAGGACAATAGAACGTGCCTCTGGGAAGAATTTTCTGAATGTAGAAGTTAAAGGAATCGGAATGAAGGCATTGTTGGACACCGGAAGTGACATCAATACCATGAGATGTATGAAGATTTCTTCCAAAACATTCCTCTAGTGAAGGAGACGATTATAATTAAAGGATATGCTAACAATAGAGTTGAAACTTTGGGATCATTCTATACCACGGAGAAGAATTCGCGATGACATTCCACGTCATTCCGACTGAAGCGTCAAGTTTCAAGGTCATCATTGGAAATAACCTATTTGAGCATTAGCGGCGACGGAATAGTTGTTTAAAAGAAGACGAAGACAACGTTTTTGATGAAGATGACGCTCAACAACTACTCAACTGACTTTGAGGTATACACGACGCATATCAGAGATTCAGCAATCAAAAAGGAAGCTGAAGAACTCTTACAGAACTACCAACAAGAGAAGACGAAAACCACAGACATAGAAATGAAGATTGTTCTGAAAGACGAAGAGCCAGTTATGAAACACCAAGAAGAATGGTCACCTCAGAGAAGGAAGAAGTAGAAAGGCAGGTAGATCAATGGTTTAAAGAAAAAATAATAAGGCCGAGCTCATCAGATTTTTCAAGTCCTTTGGTGTTAGTTAAGAAAAAAGATGGAAGAACACGAGTTTGCTGCGACTATCGGAAATTGAACAGGAAAGTCATTAAAGACAGATTACCGTTTCCCTTGATTGAAGTCGTCTTAGATGACTTGCAAGGAGCTAAAGTGTTCAGTACGATCGATTTGAAGAACGGATTCTTTCATGTAGCTGTAGAAGAAGCCAGTAGGAGGTATAACAATTTCGTCACCCATAATGAACAATATAAATTTTCGGATTGTGCAACAGTCCGGCAGTCTTTGAAAGATTCGTTTGTCACATTTTTCGGCAACTAGTGAACAAAAACATTTGTGTTTATTACATGCTTGATATCATTTTTCCTAGCATCGACGAGAGAAAAGGCATTAAAAAATTAAAGTCGGTATTAAAAGTTGCAAGAGACTACGGCCAAGAAGTCAAAAAGGAAAAGTGCCAACTGTTCAAGAAAAGGGTAGAATTTTTTGGCTTCATCGTAGAAGAAGGGAAAGTTTAACCATCCGAAGAAAATACTCGAGCTATCAGGAAGTTTCCAGAGCCTAAGACGCATAGACAGATCCAGTAATTTTTCGGATTGACGGGATACTTCAGAAAATTCATATGCGGTTACGCAGCTACCGCTAGACCATTAAGTGATCTTCTGAAGAAGAATCAACCTTTTACATTTGAGGAAGAACAATGACATGTTTTTGAGCTATTAAAGAAGTTGTTAACGACGGAACCAGTGCTACATATTTACCAACAAGATTGTGAAATATGTATACTCTATACTACACGAGCAAAAAAACAACACCAGCTGAAGAAAAGTATAGCAGTTATGAACTTGAAGTTTTAGCTATTATTCAGGAGGTCAAGAAGTGGGATTTGTTGTTAGAAAAGTACGACTACAAAATAGATCATAGAAAAGGAGATGCCACACGTAGACGTCCTTAGCTGATATCCAGTGGTAATGACGATCACCGAAGACGAAGGAATAGTCAATACGATGAGACTAGGTCAAGAAAAAGTTGAAAATTTGAAAACAATAAATACAATCCTAACCAAGGAAGAGTATGAAGATTAGTTACTGAAACATGGCATTATGTACAAGTATGACAAAGGCAAATAACTCCTAGTTGTACCGAAAGCGATGCAAACAGAGCTAATCAAGAGAGCTCACGAGAAAGGACATTTTTCCGTGAAGAAGACAGATGAGCTGTTGAAGAACGAATACTTCATACCGAAGTTGAAAGAGAAGATAGAAGCTTGTCTCAGAAACTGCATACAATGCATACTGGGAAGCAAAAAAGGAGGTAAGCAGGAAGGCTTTTTGCATCCCATTGACAAGCAACATGGACCATATCGATCACCTAGGACCGCTACCATCCACCAAGAAAAGGTACCAACATCTGATGATCTTAATCGATGATTTTTCAAAGTTTGTCTGGATATACCCGTCAAGATCCACGACGTCAAAATAGACCATAGATTGCCTGAAGAGACAACGGAAAGTCTTGGAAAACCCTTTAAGGGTAAACTCTGATAGAGGAACGGCTTTTATTTCCAAAGAATTTGAATTCTATTATCGAGAAGAGAATATCGAGCACGTCAAAATTCATACAGGAATACCCCGTGGAAATGGACAAGTCGAACGGATAAATAAAAGCATCATCCCTGTTTTGACGAAATTGATTATTGATGTCCCGATGAAATGGTAACAACAAGTTGACAAATTGCAGATGGTATTGAATTCGACATACCACAGAAGTATCGGTACTACTCCGTTTGAAATACTGATAGGAACCAAGATGAGGACTACAGAAGATACAAGAATTTTGGAAGCAATTGAAACTGAAATGACTGAACAGTTTTGCTAAGAGCGACAAGAATTGAGAGCAGAGGCAAAGAAAAACATACTCAAGGTTCAGGAAGAGAACAGGAAAAGGTATAATTTAAGAAGAAAGAAAGCACAAGAATGCCAGAAAGGAGACTTATTTGCTATAAAGCGTTCCCAATTTGGAGGAGGTCTTAAGTTACATAGGAAGTATCTTGGACCGTACGAGATCACACAGGACAAGTATCCAGATCGATACGACGTAGTTAAAATTGTGAGGACGTTAACCTGTCCTGAGTACATGAAGAGGTGGATTGAACCTGAAGATAGCGAATCCGAGGTGGATTGCTACTCAGGAATGGCCGAATGTAGGATAAGGTTATCTTACCATTTTTATTTTATTTTAGCGTCGGTGCGTAACCCTTAATTGACGACGCCCCTGTGCTGCTTACGCCACTGAAGAACCCTTCTAGAACAATCCAGACGCCAACCGCGCAAGCACCTCATGGTTTTGGCGCCTTAGCCGCGGAGCAGGGAGGACATCATGACGGTTTCATAAGACGCGCACTAAAACGCAGACGGTGTTGTTGCACTACTTTTATTTCTTGTATTAGATTAATAAACAGCTATTCATCTGTATCAAACAAATAATAACCCTACATTTATATATCTATATATATATATATTTAGTTTTGACAGTAGAGGTGGTACAGGTGTGTAACACTCATTGATTCCAAAATTTGATATTCATTCTCGTTCAAACATTTCCAATCCGAAAAAACATTTTTTAATTTACTCTGTTATCAGCTAAACAAAAGCTTGTTTTAAAAAATGTATTTTTATATTTATTATATGATATGCATTTGTGTCTCATTGAGCTTTATTATGGATTTGAAGTAGGAAGTGTTATGACCATGCCCTCATATAAAAACAGTAAGTTAAATACGTATTTGCAAATGGATGAATCACGGTAAACACACCAAAATGCACATCTCTTGCTTTTAAAGAAGAACCTGGTAGAAAAATAAAAAAAGCCCATGAAAGTTTATAATACATTCGTACCTACTGAAAAATTTCAAAGGTATAAATCAGTTGTCTGCTTTCTTGACATCCATAGGAAGCTCTAAAAGTCCAATTTTTGTGTTCCAAATAGAATTTTTTAGCATTTCATTAGGATCGTTTTAGCCAACTATACCGAAATTTGTTCGTTTGTTACAGCGGGAGACGAAAATGGATAGTTTGCAGTGAGAAATGATAAAACCCGATTCTAAACTTTTCAGACAGAATGAAGTTCGGGCGCCCGCAAGAATTTATGTCAGGGAGGGGCGCGATGATCGGCAAGAGGTACGTCTTTGTAAAAGTGCCCTTGCCTCAAAACATCAAGAAAAGCGGGGGTATCAAATTTTCTCAGGGACGCGGGTCGAATCCTAAAAATCCTTAAAATTGTATATATTTCAGCAAATTTCAAGGCACAGCCGGGAGGGGAGGCCACAACCCCTCCTGCCTTCCGTCCTGTGGCCGCCCATATTCTGAAACCTGTTGGAGTTTTAAAAACTTACCTCCCATTTGAGACATCCTATGGATCGGATATGATTGATGAGCTTTCAGTAGTAGTGTTTCGGTGTTGCACCTTTTACAATCAATCGTTGTTAGAAGATAGGTTGGATTTTCGATTATTGGTGGATCTAAAAATGTAACACAGTAATAGAGCTTCGTAAATACAAAATTCATTGGTAAGAACGATAGACTTTATATATATATATATATATAGACTTATACTGCAGTGCTTAGGTAAAGACAGAAGTAGCCAGAAAATGGAAAACTTGTCAAAAAACACAAGGTTCACATTTCTGTGGAACCTTCAAACTTTGAACGCGTCTCCAGAACGAACCGTTTTATCTAGGACCCTCAAATTTCACATAGTGGCATGCCTCTAAAGAAAAAAATGAACCTGATATGAGGTATGACCCGCCAAGTCAGGTATTGGAATTTTATTTTAGACCTATATACATGCACTATACAGAAATTAAGCTATACAGGGTTATCCAAATTAAGTGTCCACCATTAGTAACTTTGTTATTAGTGAAAATACAAAGTTGTTTGAATTAGCAAACTAGTAGCATTTTTAACGCTGGTAAAAATGAGAAATAAAAAAAACAATTGAGAGTCGTTATTTTGATTTGTTTCAGTAAAATAACATTTTTTTAAATGGAAACCCCTGTATATTATATTTTTTTCTGTTAAAGCATTAAATTTTAAACAAAAAAGCTTACAATAACTTTTGTCCTAGGTTACAAATTGTTGAAGTTATGGCCTCCAATCTGAAACAATTAAATTGTATCGACAATCTTTATTTTCAACATCAACTTATAATCTTACAAAATACAATAACAATTTTTTTTAAAGAAGATGCTCGAAAACACCACCTTGTTCTTCAATACATTTTTGGGCACGTTTTTCAACTGCTCGAACTGTCTTAAGTATGGTCCTACCATCTATCTGGGTTATCTTTTCCCTAACTGCAGTCTTTAACGCGTCAAGGTTATCGTACCTTCGCTTGTAAATTCGGTTCTTTAAGTAACCCCACAAGAAGTAATCAAGTGGGTTTAGATCTGGTGATCTGGGAGGCCACTGTATTGGGCCATTTGTTCCTATCCACTGATCATTAAAAGTAGTACTTAGAAAATGATAAGTACCTCTGGAGTTGTGGGCAGGTGCGCCATCTTGCTGAAAATGCAGATGATGTCTACTTATAAGATCCAATTCGTCTAAGAAATTAGTCAGAATTTCTGACATAAATTCCACATATCTTTCACCAGTTAGGGTTCCCTCATAAAAGAACGGGCCAACAATTTTTGAACCAATTATACCGCACCAAACGTTGAAACTGAAACGGACTTGTGGGCCTCTTGGATGTACTAACAAAAGATTTTCTCTTGACCAATAATGGTGATTTTTTCTATTAAACATTCCAGAATTTGAAAAATTTGATTCATCTGTCCATAAAAGGTAACGAAAGTTATTTACGTTTTGGCGACAGAAGCTAAGATACCAATGGCAAAAAACAAGTCTTCTCTCTGGATCCCCTGCCAAAAGCGTTTGAACTGGTCGGTACTTATACGGAATAAATTTGTATTTTTTTAAAATCCTTTGAACAGTACCATAACTGAAATTAGAGTCCTTGAGAATATCTGCTATTGAATTCTCACGATAAGCTTCAAAATATCCAATAACTGCAATTTCCGTGGAATCGCTTATTATGAACTCTTTTTTTGCCCTTGTTTTAGCAAAAACATTTTCGTTGCCCCTAAATTTTCGATAAAGTCTCAGAAAATATCGTTCATACGGTTGAATGCGAGCGGGATATAATTCACTGTAGTATTCTCTTGCTCTCAAGGAGGATTTTCTGCACACTAAATAGCATTCTAACATATCACACTTTTCTTCATGGGAGAACATTTTTCTTTAAATTAATGACACAATAAAGCTTATAAACAAGTATTTACACTAATGTTTGACATTATTTGATTTTATCATTGTTTTCCAAAGCCTTCTAGTTGCGAGTATGTCCAGTTTAACAATTTGTCGCTTATCTTAATGCTGTCAAATCGCGAACGCCATGTTGTTTTCATAGCCGTCTTAATATTATAATACTGCAAATAATTAAAAATATTTATCGTTATTTTGACTTTATTTTTGACTTTAGCGGAAAAGTCATTATGAACTTTTTTGTTTAAAATTTGATGCTTTAACAGAAAAAAATATAATATACAGGGGTTTCCATTTAAAAAAATGTTATTTTACTGAAAAAAATCAAAATAACGACTCTCAATTGTTTTTTTTATTTCTCATTTTTACCAGCGTTAAAAATGCTACTAGTTTGCTAATTCAAAAAACTTTGTATTTTCACTAATAACAAAGTTACTAATGGTGGACACTTAATTTGGATAACCCTGTATTTATACTCTATTATAAAAACAGTTAAATGCAAGTATAAAAAAACAAAAACTAATTGACCCCGACGTGATTTGAACACGCAACCTTCTGATCTGGAGTCAGACGCGCTACCGTTGCGCCACGGAGTCCTTGTCATTGGTTATTCTTTTCATTTTACTTAAGAGTAAAACATTATTTTACGTTCTACAAAGTAGTTTATTAGACATTAAAAAAGAAATATGCACATAATAATAACTCATATGACTGAATTGATTTCAATTTTAAATACATATTAATAAAATAGGATTTTATTGACTTTGTACGTTTTTAGTATGTGCGCCACCTATTGGCAACAAACACAACATGAAAGTCGTCGCTCTCCGATATATGTAGAAATCCATGCTTTCAAACAACATCGTTAACTTCGTTCACGGCAGATGTCAGGAGCATCGAATTCATGAAATATAGTCCAGTCTGAGAGGAATAACGAGTAAAATGAAACAAACTATAGTCCAGGTCGACGGCAAGCATTTTGCTCAAACTGACGATAAATACAGAATAGAGTTAAAAAAATCTATTGATGAAGAACCATTTTGATTACTGCTGAAAATAACACGCTTCCACGTGGTGAAGTTACGACATTTTTAAAACCATAAATTCATCCCCTACATTTGAGATCCAATCAAAGTACAAATAATCTAAGAAATAAAACAATAGTCCACCAGAAGATTCCCAATCCAGTTGCAATCATATCTGTTTATCCGTTTAGGTGTCTGTATAGCAACTTGTCGGTCTTTATGGCAGGTAATGATATTTCCTTAACGAACCTAAGAGGAAAGTTGCTGCTCTCCTGCTTGAAAACATATCTGTGACGATGGACATAGCATGTGAATGACTAATTTGGGTATAATTTTGGAGAGTACATTAATTAATGATTTAACTTTAACTTTACCTGGCAGTGGTGTATGAAAAATACTCGTAGAATGTGCGTCTGCGCCTTTCCTACTGCTATCTCTACCTTCCATCGCCTTTTTGCCTCTCCAATTGTTCCAGCCCAAGAACATCATCAACAAAACAGCAACAACCAAGACAACGACAGCAGCTGCCGTGAAAGTGTTTACAAAATACTCAGTATCCGATGACACGTGTTTATTAATATAACCTCGATCTTCAAGGGTCAAATAATTCTTTTCTTCAGCGTAGTTTTCATGAGTTGAAGCTATTTCTTTCTTCTGTGCTGGAATTTCGTACTTTACCTCGACTGGTACAGTATACTCCTTCAAAATGGTGTCCAAGTTAGTATCTTTTGTAGTATTCACCTCAGCAGGTTTGTCTAACTGATCTTCAGCGTGTTTTGGTGTACGTGTAGACATGCTCAGGTCAATTGTAGACCCAGTTTTAGGAATAGGTGCTGTTAGAGGTGTTGTTATTGAATGTTTCGGAAGGCCTCTGGTTTTGTATAGCGGATTTGTTATTTCGTTTGAATATGGCTTGGTAGAAGACTTAGAGAATGATTCTGATGTCTCAATTTTGGTAACATTATTGACCAAAGCAGTTGTAGAATGAATTGCTATTTCATTCGAATTCGTAATGAGTGCTGACCTATTTAAATATGCTGTTAGTTGCGATGTAGGTAGGATTGTAGCTTTGGTGGAACTAGAAGCAACAACAACTGTTGAAGTACCTGTCAATCTTGGTTCTGTCTGAACAGATACTCTTTTTGGCATCGGTATTGTTACTTTAGCCATCACATCATCTTTGATTAAACCCGTTTTAGTGATATCCAATTTTTGCGGAACGCCTTGACTCAATTCAGTATATTTTTGTGTTGGCTTTGGAGACGTTATGGGCTCTAAAGTAGAGTGAAATCGAGAACTTAGAGCTGATACATTTGAAGTCCTACTAGGTGGCACAGTAGATTGTTTTGTTTGAGATGGAGATGTGTTCTCCATCACATTTTGTATGCCTTTTGTTATTAAAAATTCATGAGCAGTATCTCTTGAAACTGTTGTACTCGGGGTAATCAGATTGGTTGTTCGAGTATTGCTTATGCTACTTAGCATTTCAGTAGCTTTTGGAGTCGTTTCAGGAGCACTAGTAGTTTTTACTACTACCACGTTATTGTTTGTATCAGTAGCATTGGTAAATGCATCATTTTCTAAACTAGTTCCTTTGGTAGAAGTACTCAAACCTTTCGTAGTTATCATCGATTCACTTTCAGTACTGATATAACTGGGCGTACTTGAAAATGACAGTGATGTTAGTGTAATTTCGTTAATACTGATGGGGGTTGGTGTGCTACGTTTTGGTGATGAAGACAAAGTGATTTCACTTTTATCGGTACTAACGAAGTTTGGTGTACTAGCTGTTGATGATGATGATGTCTGAATGATTTCACCATTTTTATTACTGACGTCATTTGACGTCAAGATATTTTCGCTTTTAGTAATACTGACGTCTTTTGATGTGCTTGATTTTGGTGATGACGTCACAGTGAGTTCTACTGAACATGTTCCGTTGACTGGATTGCATCTTTTGTACTCACAGTCGCAATTGTTTGAGCAGTTTGGGCCCCATGTGCCTAAGTCGCAACCTGTGGGAAGATAATTATTTTATTAATGCTAAAAAAATTACGATAAAAAAGAAGTTTGGAAAATATAATTGTTTCTGCGAATTGCGAATAAACAAGGTCATTCTTGTTTAGTGATTCCCTAAAAAAGATTTCTGTTTTGTAAGGTTTTGATAATAATTTTATTTTTAGAGTGATATTCTTACCAACCTACATCACATGATTGGCCTTTGAATCCTGGGAAACACAGGCAGGCCCCATTATGACATTTGCCATTTTTACAGTTTTCATCGCAATTCGAGATGCAAATTTCTTCTTTTTTGGTGAACCCCTCACAGCATTCTTCAACTGTTCTGGTTAGGATTTTTTCCTGGAAAGAAACAGCAATTTTCATTCATTTGAGTGTAAAATCTTTTATTATTTATGATATCATACCGGGTGGTCGGTAATGAACGTGTCAAAGAGAAATAATAGTACTCAACCAAATACGTGCAGTGCAGTGCTTTCATAAAACTTTTTTGACGTAAAAGTGACAGTTGAAGCTCCTTATGATACTTTTGAAATTGCGGACTGTCAGACTCTCAAAGTTGGGCGTGTTTCTACATTAAATCACTTATACAGGGTGACCCAATATTCCGTGGACATAGAAGTACCTCGTATTTTTATACTCAAAATACGTCGATTGGACATGATTTACCTCTATGCCAAAGTGCTTCGTTGAACCGTTAGAGGGCGCCAAAGTTTTCTTTTTACAACACATTTTTTTAGATATCTTAAGCACCAGTCCGATCTAAATGAAATTTAGAGCACATGTCTTGCTAGATATTCCAATATTTGATTTTTACGAAAAACTCTAAAGAGTTCGACAAGGTTGAAAGCTATGCACATCCCTACATAAATTATAGCAGAATTTCTGAATATTTTTATTTAGCAGATCTTTTCAGTTACTTCATTTTTAGTATCCTATAAAAACATGCCATCTCGGATAATGTCCGAGAAAGAAAGAATCCGATGCATCAAGAAGTACCTAAGTGTCTTATTAATTCTTCAAGTGTAGCTCGCGAAAATAAACAAGTATTATATTACTCATTACAATTTTATTGAATACAGGCAATAGTGGGATTTATACAGGGTGTTTCAGTTTATTGTTGCATAACTTTAACATTCGATAGAACTTATAAAATTAATGCATAAAGTCTATATAAACATGGGTCGAAAAATGTGTGGCTTCCGAAATACAGGTTTAAATTTACTTTCTAAAATAGTTTTTTTTAAATATTTCGAACAATATTTGATGTATAATAGTGAAAATTGGTATACAAGGGTTTTTTTGTACGACAAAGCGAACTATGGGCATAGTTTTACTGTAGCCGCTAGAGGGCGCTCTCTACTGTACCTGTAGTGTATTAAAATGACCGAACATTTTTTCTTAGTGCAATTTTTTGCTTTTTGAATAAAAAAACTGATTCTTCGCACTTTTCAACATAAAAAAGCTCTCTTGTGAATTTTCGTTATAGGTAGCCGTTTTTGAGATATTTCGATTTTTAAGGTTCGATGCATTTTTAATTATTTATGATAAAATAATAATAAAAAGTCAGTATCTCGATAATTTTTAGAAGTAGGCTGTGCCTGCAAATATTTTTGAAATTGAAAGCAGAATAAGGTTAAACGTCAATTAGTTGACAGTTAGTTTTGTTGTCTGTTGAAACCTGAAACGTTTTTTTGCAATTGTGAATGCACGAAATTCAGTTTCTTGTACCTGTTTTTTTTGTAAGTTTTATAAAAATGCCATTTTTATTCTCCAATCAAGAGTTAGCGGATATTCATTTTTTGTATGGCTTTGTAAATGGAAACGCAGAGAATACGCACGAAGATTTCCAAACAGACCACATCCAACTCGCTCAGTATTTGTAAGAGTGCATCGCCAAATAATTGAAAACGGTTTTGGAAATCCCCAAAGGGATCAAAGCATAAATGTTGGTCAGCGCAGATTTATCCGTATGATTCTGCGTGAGTTTGATAGAGATCCGACCACAAGTGCTAGGAGAGTTTCTGGTGCCTTGGGAATTTCAGCAAGCCATGTTCACCGTGTTCTTAGAAATGACCATAGACGTCCTTGCCATTTGCAACCTGTGCAAGGACTACAGCCAGGGGACGGAGAACGAAGAATCACATTTTGTCAGTGGATTCTTGATAGAACTGATAATGATAGGGAGTTTTTAAGTAACGTTTTATGGACCGATGAGTCATGCTTCACTAGACGTGGAATGGTAAATTTTCATAATCAACATATTTGGTCGCATGAAAATCCGCATGCAGTTCGGGAAAGAAATTTTGAGCATGAATTTAGTGTGAGCGTGTGGATTGGTATCTACCGTAACCGACTATTTGGACCCTACCTTTTGCCTGCAAGGTTAAATGCTGCGACCTTCTTGGAATTTTTAAAGGCTGAAAATGCAAATATGTGGGATGATGTTATGTTAGATTTAAGAAGATTGGCCTGGTTCCAGCTTGATGGTTGTCCAGCTCATTATTCGAGAATAGTTAGAAACTGGCTGGACAAAAATTATCCAGAAAGATGGATCGGCCGTGGAGGACCAGTCGCCTGGCCTCCACGATCCCCTGACCTAAATCTATTAGATTTCTTTGTGGGGATTTCTAAAAGAAAAAGTGTACCAGACTCCCATAACCACAAGAGATATGCTAATAGACAGATTCAGGAATGCATGTGATGAAATAAGGCCTTATTTGAATAATGCTATACCACGTTCGATCATTCGTAGATGTGAATTGTGTATTGAACAATTGGGTTTACATTTCGAGCAACTACTTTAGATTTTGTCTGTTAGTCCTAACTATCCAATAGCATTTAAGTTGTAAATAATTAATTAAATTTGTTAAAAATAATATTGGAAAATTAAACAAATTAATATTCTGTTTTTTGTGTTTATTTGGAGTTAGGAATTATTGCTGTGTTTAAAAACACAATCTAAACGATCATCTTAATTACTTGTAATGCCCAAATCGAAAATGTAAAAAAAAATATTATTTTCCCATAAATAATTAAAAATGCATCGAACCTTAAAAATCGAAATATCTCAAAAACGGCTAACTATAACGAAAACTCACAGGCGAGCTTTTTTATGCAGAAAAGTGCAAAGAGTCAGTTTTTTTATTCAAAAAGCAAAAAATTGAACTTAAAAATTTTCGGTCATTTTAATACACTACAGGTACAGTAGAAGCGCCCTCTAGCGGCTACAGTAAAACTATGCCCATGGTTCGTTTTGTCGTACCAAAAAACCCTTGTATACCAATTTTCACTGTTATACATCAAATATTGTTCGAAATATTTAAAAAGTAAATTTAAACACCCTGTATTTCGGAAGCCACGCATTTTTCGACCCATGTTTATATAGACTTTATTTTAAAAGTTCTGCCGAATCTTAAAGTTATACAACAATAAACTGAAACACCCTGAATATGTAATAAGATACGGAAAGTTTCATTAATAAGGTTTGAAAATCTGACGGGTTTTTTTTGGTCATATTTTGATGCATATTCCGAAATGGTATATATACCGTTTTGATATTTAGTTATCGAATTATTTAATGTACAAAAACGAATCTGATAGTCTGCCAGTCGTTTATTCTCAAGGAAAATGATAGGTATATCGTATTAAATCAAAGTTCGTGAAATATCTGCCACCAGTAGCCGTGATGCCCCGTTGTGTCTGCTCCGGCATTAAATAAAAGCATTGCTAACGTGTGACGCCTTCAGAAAGCAAGTGTATTAGGGGGGGCTTTGAAAACACTGTATCTATATACGCATCAGAGCACACTAAAAATATAAAAAAGCACTTCAATTCTACGAGAAGTCAGCCATAAACCATAAATATCTGGTTTGATAACTGGACTGCTTCTCCGCTTCTAGCAATTGGCTGGCTGCTCAAATATTTACTGGTCAGTTTCAATTAATGTCAGGAACAGATGTAGCCTAATTGCATAACAGCACGCTCGCAGTGATACACTTACCCGCGTATATGGTCGAGTAAAAAGCTGAAATATATGAGTCTATTGGTTATTGTATGAACCAACGAGAGAAAGCGCTGGACGCGTTCGGAAAGTATGCTTAAAAATCGCAAAAAACGAGTGGAATGTCGCCGGTATCCTTTCCTGTAGGATACTAGTTGTGATATAACAATAGGCGTATGAGCGTAACAAAGAGCTGTCACATTTCTGTTGTTGATTTATGGTTTGTAACTATGGATTTTCGAAGCTCGAGCGAGCTAAGTACGTAATACGTTATAATTGTCGTAAAATCTGGTCTAGAATTGTTACGGTCTGTGATTATAGTGTATTTAATGGATTTTGAATATTCTGCTCATGTCACTGATGCAAACTTCCATCCTATGGCCACCCAGAGAAGCTTTGCAGATGGGTGTCTGACTTCCTCTCTAGTTGCAAGATGTTCGTTATAATTCTTGGCTGTAATTGACGAGTTCACTCCTTCATCCCAAATTATCAACTCGAACGATCAATCCCATCTGGAAGATATCACTCCTTGATGTCGCAACAATCGGAAATGGCACTGTACCTTGACTAACAAGAAGCGCCCTAGCGCATATCCGACTTCTATGGAAGGGCGAGTTTTGCCACCACTCTGTACAAGCCCCTGATAAGACCTAGCTTCAAGTACTGCTCACATGTTTGGGGTGCTGCCGCCCTGACTACTTTGTTCATATTTGATGCTGTTCAGGGGAGGGCTGTCCGATTGATCAATGACACTTCTCTAGCACACCGCCTCGAGACTCTTTCGCCCATCAAATAGACTTAAATGCCGTAACAGATTCATGGACTTGACTCTGGACGGTCCACCTGCCAACTACCAGCTCGTCCAAGAGATGCCTCGTAGCGCCAGAAAAAATTAGCCAAATAAAATGGGGCTTCTATGAGTGACTGTGACCTGCAATCCCGACGACTTAAGGCTTGACAAGCAAGAAGCATTGGACGGATACGAAAAATTGAAACACAGTACTTGTTACACGGTTAACAACGTTCATCAAGTAAAAACTGTTTCATGTTTTGAATCTCATCAGACGTTTAAACTGTGCATTTAAGGTACAACCTTCTTTAGATAAGAGCAATGCGTAACCACTTAACATACAGCACCTACACAGTAGCTGGTGTATAGGAAGCCTTGTGAAATACTATAACATCTCAAGTATGTACAAGAAATATGCTCTACTTTAATTTCTTACATATCATGCAACGTATATCATCTGAATATTTTATAATTGAGTTATCCGGAGTATATGCTGCTGTAAAAGCATTGCTATAAGGCAATCGTTTTACTTTATTGGGACATAATTTA